TATGCCTAAATGAATTGACTTCAAGGTCACAGTCACATGGAATATGAATTCAGGAATAAAAAATGTAAGCGTAACGTACAAACTGACGAAACAACGGACGCAAATTATATCATATACTCGAATATATATATATAGAGAGAGATAGACAGATAGATATTGACAAAGGCATCTAGCGTGGGCCACATGAACAATTACCTATAGCACCACAGAGAAAGAAACAGAAATAGTAAGTAATAATCAAATAGATAATAATATATATCAGTATACCACTATTCATTTTATATCAGTTATATATTACACACCATGAGGTAATAGTATTATTTAATCGTGGTCGCACTGGGTAGATGGGCAGGGCCACCGATCTTGGTCCTGCCTAGCAAACCAAATCAATTGGAGTTAACCCTGCTCTTAGGGATATTTTGTGCACAAACCATGGGTAACAGTTTTGTGACAAAGATTTTGAATAGTTGCATGAAAAAAATGCCGTTGGAGGAGCGTGTTGTAGGACAATCATCCTTCTGCCGTGTGCTATGCCACTGATTAAAGCCTGGATCTTGAAATATAAAGGACACAAATCGACAAAAGACAAACTTGTTCAATAAGGTAACATTGCTACTTCGTCTCACTGCCTCAGCCCTACCAAAGCTTTGTGTCTTATTCTTTTTCATTCAGTCATCTGTACTTCGCCACTGCTTGTTACATTTAGGGCTGAATATACAATATCTATATATTCACATATGTAATGGTTTGGAAAATCTAGAATTATTACCACCTTATGCAAAGTTTCATCAAAGACAAAGAAGTCCAGTTCCAGAAACAAATTAATTGAATATAGTCCATGTTTACCAGCCAATAGACTCAAATAGTGTACCGTAGAAAAAAATAATGCTTTAGCTGTTGGCCATTTGGCACGTTCATTCATGTATATCAAAACTGTGAACTTCACGATTTTTAGTTGATGATAGCTGTAATAACCATTGACAAGGAAGACAAGACGTCTCTATACACTACCAATAACTTTTGCCCATCAACAATAGCACACTTTCGTAAAATTATGATAAATTTGCAAAGGTACTGAGCCAAACTAAACTGTGCTTTGCATTTTTAATAGCTTATCAGGCTAATGTATATAAATATGTGTAGATGTCAAATACAAATCAGATTAAGATAGCAATATTACCTCATGGCATAGCATTATCCTCTTTCACCCCTGGCTTATTTTTCATCTTTGTTGTACAGTTCTTTTGTTTCTCAGGAAGGCCATGTTCTGTCTCTATGGAAATCTTCGGAGTAGAGCCGTCAGGAGGATCAAAAATTATGTAAACAGTCAAATCACATTCAACACACACTGTAGAAAGGAAGCAAGAACTTATGTTCATAGTAAATCTTGAGGGACAAAATTCAGTGTAACACATGGGACATTCCTCAATTGCATGGCGGGCAATGAGGTAATACCCATTTGATGGGGTCCTTATGATCCTTTTCTTAGCACCTCCTTTTACTCTGGTAAAATGTGTCTTGGATTTGGATCTTTTGGCAGGTTTTGGTTTTGTCTCGGGGCCTTTCTGTAACTGGGTTGCATTATGAGAGGTTTCTCCATCCAGAAACTTTAAACACTGATCAATTGCATTTTTCCATGGTTTAGATACTTTCAATTTTTTTAGAGAGCAAATATATGAAGTCAGTCTACTGGTGACCAATCCATGGGGTGATTCTTCTGACAACCTGTTTGAAATATATTCTGAAGGTGTCATACAATATGTCAGAGTGTGTGGACATGTTGCACTACCTATCCTCTGAACTATCCAATTGACTCTAAAGGCTTCACAGCTGGATATCTTCCAATGGCACCGAGTGCACTCACTCTCACCGAAGAATAAATGCTCTTTAAAGTGTATATCTTCTACCAACTTCCCACATGTATAGCATTTCACACTTTTGGTAGAATGTTTCGACTTTCCTGGCATGGAGCTCAAATGACTCGACTCCCATGGCGTGAGGGTATAGCTTCTCGGTTTTCCTGAAGTGTGGCTAGGATTTCCGGAAATTCGGGCAAAGTTTCTCGGCTTCCCTGACAAGGCGTGGTCTCTAACGGTTCCCGATAAGTTGCCAGGCCGTTCTTCGACTGCATTCTCGTTTAGACCTCGCCATACGAGGCTCTTGTCCCTCGCAGAACCAAGTCCGTCTGTCGTCGGGGATCGAACACCGACTGTTCTCGCCATCTTTCAGGTTTTGGAAAGTGAAGAAACACTTCATTAGTTCTAGCATCGATAAATACAAAGGTAAGGCCACTTTATATAAAGAAAAAGAAAAATCTCTTATGTGCATTTTCGACAGCAACATAATTTATCTGGCGACACAAAAAACATCAATGTTGTATCATCCAGCACATCCGAAAATACCAATGCAACTTACATTACTTTAGCAACTGTACAGACTATATCCACAATGTTTCCATTTGCCAAGAAACCGTTCTGCAATTCGAGTCACTAATGCGAAG